AATTTAAATCGTGGTTTTCATGATAATTATTAATGTTATGTATACCACTGAGTTCACGGACTTTTAGAAATATGTTATAATACCCTGTAAGGCTTGTTTAAATAATATTACTTCTAAAACTTTTACAATTAATTACAAGAAATACTTTAAAATGGTTTATTAATTTTACAGTATTATTATAAAGGCCATATTTGAAAAAAAAATGAAAAATAATAAGTATTTATTATTTACTATTTATTTATAGTAATAAATTATCTGCATGCTATTTTTGAAAATGCATAATTTCTTGGTTTTCTGCGGTGTGGATTAATAAAATCTATCATACTTATTCGTTAATACGGATAAAAGTTAAATATATTTGTACCTATCTATTTAATATAAATTTGGTATTTTATTTTATGCTATAATTTTTTGTCAAATCATTTGAATTCTTTATTTTTCTTAGTAATATGTGGACTCCGGTAACGTTTACAAGCGACAATAGCGTTCCACCATCAAGATCCAAGCATAGTGCTGCTGTTCACGGAAACCACWTYTATGTGGTCGGCGGTCGAAATGGCAATTGGCCCTTGAAAGACATATGGAGATACGCCCTGTGTAAGTATAACACGTAGTCTGAATACAAATTGACTCTAATTTCATTTTGATGTTACGTACAACAATCGAATTACAATTGCTTTCGTGATTAATTTGTTGGAATTAAAGAGGGTTCGTATTTTTTTTTTAATTATAGCACCTACATATAATTTTATTTTATTTTATTAAAAAAGTAAGAATTTATTTTTTCAAAACAAATATTATTATGTAACTTATTTTGGTTACATTTATGTACGTGGATATATTTAACTGAATTTTTCGACAATTATTATATTAATATATTTTTKCAATGGCATTTATTTTGCATCAACTATTATTATCATAGTGGAAATAAAATGTATAACATAAATACATAATGCTAAAACAAATTAAATTGAACGGTTTTTACAAAACTATTGTGGTTAAAATTGTCAATTATAATAGTTTTGAGCGTAATACACTTTATATAATAAAACTTTTACTCAGGATATAAAATTTGAGTGTAAGTGTTTTTGAATTATAGCACATAATATAGTGTATGTTATWTCTCATATTTGTCTGAAAATAAAATAGCAATTGAAAAGTTATCATCGTTTTTTTCTTTTGTTTATAGTTAAGATATTCCAATTTAATATTTTGTTAAATGTTAYAATATAAGAAAATTGTGTTTTAATGAGACGAATAATTATACTTATTCATTTTACCTAATTGCATTTGAAAAACATCGAACAAATTATAWTCTATAGCCCTATAGGTATAGTTTTTTTTTTTAGTTTATCTGTTTTATTTGTATACAATTAATGATTTTTGATATTAAATAGTAAATACTTAAATTATAACAGTACCTAAATTATTATTTAGATTTCAACGAAATGTATTAAGTACCTAWCTAATATTTCAAGTAAATAATATAAATTTTAGTATAGTTCACATGGGTAGTCCATAACGATTAATGTACCTAATGTATTGTATAATATTATAGATTTTTTTTYYTTTTTTTTCCTGTTAAAACTGACAGCAGAGGAGGCTTTGTGTGAACAATATTACTCCTCTACTGTCATCGTTTATTAATGTTTACTATACACTAATACAGCCATATACTCAACACATTACTTATAAAAACAATTATGGTTGCTTAACCTTGCAAACAAAGATACTAGTATAGTATAATGAATAAAAAACAATTATAATATTATAGCTTATAATGCTTATATTATTCACAATGTTCATCGTTTGTTTTCTGAATTCCAGCAAATAACACCTGGGAACAGTTRCACCCGACAGGAGATTCATTGCAAAATTTGCAAGAACATACAGCAGTCGTTTATCAAGACAAGGTATACGTTTTTGGCGGAGAAGTGGGGTTTTCGTCTGCCTCTGAGTCTCCACTATGGTCTTACAGTATTAAGGTAATGCATATTATATGAAATGAAAAACCCTTAAAAGATGAAGTACGTATATRTAATAATATATCAACATATAGCTGTATATAGTAGGTATAAACACATATTATTTATATGTACTGTCTATATTATAGGTRATATAAATCTTATTATAAATATGTTACTTTAATTTTATATTAAAGCTTACAATATTGTTTTGCTTTACGATAAGAAAATAAATTGAGATCACCAGTCGAATACAAATGACAATCTAATCGTCTTAAATAAGAAAGTGATTGATTTTATTTCAAAAACCTTAGATCGTTTCTAAGTGAAGTGATTTTGAAACCTTGAAACTGCATGTCGTTGTATTCACTGACATTGATAGATTGTTTATTGCTACACATACATTTTGAACAGTTGATTTTCTGATTAAATAAATAATTACTTAAGCTTCTGAGTTTTAAGTCGATAATAAATATAAAAAAATAAATAGAATTCCTAAATCAAATAAATAAATTATGCCAGTAAAAGGTTAAACCTATTTTATCAAATATATTATTATACTTAATGGCGTAAGGCGTAAATGAATTAATCTTTTCAAAAAAATCTAAATACCTATCTACTTAAACAAATGTTAATGAATACGCCCGTCGATGGTTGGTTAATTTAATTAATTATATCTAGTTGAGTAGATATTTAAAAATAAAAACAAATTAGCATACTAATTAAACTCTTAACTGTGTAATGATTATTTTTCAAATTAATCATAATATTTCAATATACAATAATTGTTTTAAATGGTCCGGTGCTGGTGTTTCAAATTTTCAGCGAATTTATTAAATTTAAAAATTATATTTCATAGGTACCTACTTAGATTGCCATTTTAATTATAATACTCTTCCACTAATTTACTCCCTATTCAGTGCAGTTAAAGCAGTGTATCCAAAAAATTACTTCACATGAATTATGTTCTGCCTTAAAGAATTTTTCGATTTTTATAACTTTTTTTCATTTAATAGAAGAAAACTTAATATTGGCCGGATCAAGTATCGATTTTTTATTTTATTTCATAATTTGTAAAATACAACTTAAAATTGTATTATTTATGAAAACACTCTATAAAGTTCGAGATTCAAGTATTGAAAAATGGAGTTTAATGCTCTTTATAGAACATTATCCTCTATTAGTTAAAAACAAAAAAAATATCTAATTTGGTTGATTCTAAGGCCGTTGATTATTCCCATAAATTGTATTTTTATAGATAAAATTACATTGGCACTGGGTGCGTAAAATACGAGTTGTAGTAATAATCATAAYCATTAAGCACGAACAATTTCCACAATTAGTAATTTATAGTGAAGGCGTTATTGTTATTTTTTGATAAATAAATAAAAAAATTGTATTGGTTAAAACTATTTTATATTTTATTTAAATATGACCAAAACAAGTGAGCGACATAATTAATAATACCGGAAATAAACTTTAAAGTACAATTACAAAATAAATTAAATAATTTTGAATTTAATTTGGTAGCATATTTTGCATACTTGCAGGAAGATCCATTATGTTCTCCGAAATTGGGATATTAGGCAATCGTTTTTTCATCTGATTACGTAGTTCTTTTTCCATTAATTTYGCATCTTCAGTGTCAATTGGCATATTCTTTAAATATTTTAGAATTGCTGATTTGAATTGCTGTCTATATTCCAATACACGTTTAATTTGATCTTCCATCGTGTTGTCGTCTTCTTTAAAACTTACTAGATGATTAACAAGATTTTTCATAGAAGCTTCATCGATATTCGATTTGTTGCTCATACTTTTCATGTTTTCTGTAATTTTTGAAATATCTGCTAAGGACTTTGTAATGAACGTTATCATATAGGCCATTTCGGTGGCCATTTCATCTTCCCGTGCTTCGAATTCTTTGTTAGTTAAATCCAATTTAGTTAAATTCTCATTGATGTTATCGGTGACTGTAGTAGGCTCTTCCGAAATGTCGGTGTCTAACTCGCTTTGTGCATTGGCGATGGTAAAGACTAACGAGAGTGCAACGGCGAAGAAAGTTAAACGATTCATGATTGTTTTTAATACTTTTAGTTTAGTAATTATAGATGTAACTGTAGAATGGTTACTTACGAATGTAATTGGTAATGCAAAGTTTTAACATTTTTATACTAAATAATAGTTGACACAGATGTATGTTGGTCAAACATAAGCCTACATTCATGGGACTCATTTGGTTTAATGTCTTTTTAAGTTTACTTAACTTTTTTTAAAGAGTAAAATACTTCCTCTAATTAATTTGCGTTTGTTTACATAGCTGAAATTATACGCATTTAACTATCGTACTTAATAGTTTAATTACCATCTATAGTAGATATTTTGTTTGTGTATGGGTTTTATACACTTTATTCGGTTTTAATTGGTAGTCTGTATTTGTAATTAATATGCTGTAATTAATTMTTAAAATGCGTGGTAAATATACAATAATTTACTTATAACTTATATACCTATATTACTACTATTCAACAATAGATTATTGAACACTCATAAAAGTTAAAAATTGAGGTATTAAAAATAAAAAATGTTAATTAATTTAATGCATTAATTTGTGGTGGGTAATAGATTTCTAAGATGTTAATTAATCTGTTAAAATTATGAATRTAAGTTATATTCATTAAGTTTATTGTGTAATAATATTTTAATGGTTATTTAAAAATGTAATAAAATGTTGATATATTATTCAACAAATACTCATATATATTCAGTGAAACCTCAAATACCAGTCACTCTAGGTTGCTGAAATTTTGTCTATTATTCGGATGTGTCTATACTATTCAGTGAGCTCAGATCGTAGAATTTTTGTAGTTGGTTGCCAAGAAAATATCCGTAATTGGATGGTGTCCGTTTGGGGAGGTTAACTGTATGAAGTAACGATATTATTATGTATATTATTATATACATATTTTAATATTTATATTAAAGATATTATTATATACCTATCTTGAAGTTTTTTCCTCATACTATAACAATTAAAATTATTAAAATAATAAATTTATATGTTGGTATATACATTTTTTTAAGCTGTTTATATCCTAAAGACTGGGTAGTTAACTATAATAATCAGTTATCTTTATTTAGTTTTAGAAATAAACATTTATTTGTAATGTAAAAAATGATAGAATCACTATGATTTTTGAATTTTTTTCATTTTTTATTAATAAAAAATTCGAATTTATAGATAGCTAGGTATTAGATATACATTATAAATCACAACACTATAATATTTACAGTTTTCTTAGCTGTTATTACTAAAATGATTAATGGATTAAAATTATGAAATACTTCAACATTTTTTTTTTTAAACGATATTTAGCGGAATTATCACCATTTTTTACCCAATTTTTTCCCAAATTTTTTTTCTATTTTTTGCATACAAATGTGATGCAATTGTAACAATAATCTGAATATATTTTCCTACCAAAGTCCATCACAAAAGCTTGTTGTTGAACGGCACTGCAGCTGCAGGGCATTATTTGATTTTARTTGTATATTTCTACCATTTCACCCCCTCTATTCATCCAAAGTTGACTTTTTTCACTTCCTCCTTTGGCTAAAAGACTCAAAGCAATAAAAATTGTACTTGACAACATTTTATCGGGGGGGAAATAGAAGTATAGTTTCTTCTGATAGGACTAAATATAATCGATTCGCCTTTACAGCAGCACTCTGTGAATAACAATTTTGTTTAAGATTTCGAATTTGACAGTCATTCCAAATTACTTATTATATAATAAGTATAATTGTTTTAAAATTTTAAACTTTAAGGTTAATAATTTTATTTCATATCATAGACAATTCATCTGTGTAATGGACATACATTTTTTTTATATTACTTAGAAAAATAAACACAATTCGTTAAAAATCGAAACTTTTTATGTAGGTATACTTTTGAAATATTTAGTACTATAATAATGTATACTGTTTTCAAGGGTTTTAAAAATGGAGTTCATATTGGATACATAGATTATGGAATGGATRTTGGTAGTTGTTTTTATGACTTTTGGTCATGATACTTAACGTAAAGCTGTCGAACGTTAAACTCCAGTTCAAAAAAAGCGTGCTCTAAAATTGTTTTTTTTTCGAATTAGTTCAAGATTATTATCGTCAACATAGATAATTTAAAATATTTTTTCATATATTTTAAACATTATGTTTTGTAATATTTTTGCATGGATAACGTGAATTGACTTGTCAATTAATAGAAAAGTATTAAGTGTAACCATTATAAATCTAACCAATATATTTTGATTCAAAAAACAGTAATTTAATTTAATGAATCATTTCGAATAAAATTGTATTGAATGTTAAATTTCATGTAACTATAATGTTTAAATCTTAATTTCTTCTGGTTTTATATATTAAAGTATGTATTTATGAGAATAGTGAACAAACATTATTATAAAAACATTACTAATATTGTTAGTGAACATACATTTACACAGTTACATTTTTATAACATTAAAACCTCAGTATCTCTGAATACTCCGTCGATATTGTCTTACCTTAAAGGCTAGTAATAATTAATTGGAGCCCACCTTTGTAAAAATTCAATACTTTATTTATTATTAAAAAAAAAAAGGTAAACCGTATAAATTGGATACAAATTCCGTTAAGCCCTSTCAGAAATTCATAGTAACCCAATGGGCCTGCAGCTTGAAAATCACGCATGTGTATTTTTTTTTTGTATTTTATAATCTACAATTTTACAGTAAATTTATTAGGTAATTGAAAAATAAGTTTAATATAAAATATTTGACTAACAGTCTAAATTTTACCATGGTCTTAAAAAACTTTCAAACTCTTTTATTTGAACTTATTTCTTCAAAAATACTCACTGCATAATATTATTATAAATAATCGTATGGTTTACACTCTTATAACTAATGATAATACAATAAGTAGTTAAACCCTGTACACTACTCGTTTACGTAATATAGTATTACGTATAATATAACTTTATTTGCTATATACTGATATATGTATATCAGTATGAAATTGTTAAAAAAGCCACAAGAAATAAGAAATTCTAACAGTTTTGAATCATCTTGGAGAGGCATTATTTATTTATATATGACGGTTTCAGAACACCGAATCCTTCCACTAAGCCTAGACGTTTGTTGAATAGGATAAGTAGTAATACCTACCCAACACTGCTTATATAGTCATGAAAGCATGAATTTCAACTTTGATTTAGGGTATTGTCTTAGATCTACTAAAATATTTATAAAATTATTCTGGGTATATTTTTCATAGACATTTTTGAATGTTTTGAACTCTGTCCTTAAAAGAATACAACACAACAAAAAATATTAAATTTTATTTATTTAAATTCTAAAATGTTTCTAAAAACGATGGTCCTTTGTTTATTCTTTTATTTCAATTACTTTTTGTTTGTTATATATATATTATAGTTTTTTGGCCTTTGTGGTTATGGAATATCATTAAGTTAGTATCGTATTTATTAGGAAAAAAAAATKATGTATTGATAATAAAATACAAAATGTTCTCGAATATTGATTTGAGGTTTAATTTCAATATATAGAAATACATTTAAAAGATGTTGGTAATTTAAAGTGRGAATTTGGAATTTGGAATTAGGAAAGTATTTGGTCATTAAATTTTCCAATTAGATCACCCATTTTCATTTAAAACGCTCAATTTTAATTACTATAATAGGTATGCATAAAATATGTGTGATTTATCAAACGAAATTTTTTATTAAAACTTATACTTACAAGTCGTAATGAAAAATGAATACGTAAAGAACAAATTAAAATCAAAATAACTTATAAATTAGTAAATTTTTAATATCAATTGTCAAATATAACAAAAATTGAAAATTTTAGTTAAATTTTATGTTAAGGGTTCAATTTTTTTAATAATTAAGTACTATTATTGTAGTTTACCTAACTTAGAATTAAAATAACATGTTAATATATTGTACTATAATTGGAATTGCTGAAACTGAATTTGTAAAAAATGAGGAATAGAAATAAAAATAATATATTATAGTAAAATAAGTTTAAATATTTCAATGTATACACGTACAAAAAAAACTGAGTATTAAAAGATGATTTAGTTTAGAAAAAATAATTCCACCATCTATGTAATAAGTATTATTTAACTATGAAGTATGGTTGGAAAAATTTCGTTGTAGTTTTATAAATTTTAAATTTCATATATGGTTAGAATTATTTAGTAAACTATCTTAGGGCATAATACGATTTGAATATCTGGTGTATTTTTCTCATTTGAAGTCTATAATCTGCAGTTTTTCTCCTATACTATGTAAAGTGATATAGTATGTATATTTTTTTTAAATATTTTTTTATAATACTTGAATATTTATTCGTTTTTTACATTCACTCTACGTCTGTCTGGAAATTATAACGCACCTTGGAACTCGTTAATTGCGCTTAAGCGCAGTGCAACGTTCCGTGTTTTGCTAGCAAAAACCACGAGTGTCACGCTAGTTCGCCGACAGTCCTTTTAATTTGACGCTGCGGGTGAAAGACGACGAGGGGTTCCTGCAGTTCCCACGTAGCTACTCGCCTTCCTGCAGRAGGGCGATTCGTTTGGAGAGAGAAACAGAGAAGACGGGTGGCACAATTCATTTTTATCCCCAAAGGGATATATACGACATGTATAGCACTATATGTGTTTACGAGGGGTGACTGTTTTATTCGACTTGTGCGTACATATACTGCCTACCTACACCCGATAAAAGCTCACGACCGTCGCGCGTACTTTGGCTTCGCATCAAAATCTCGTGTAAACCGTAGTCATGCTGCAGTTGCGTACCTATATATGTAAGGAAAAGTTGATCATTTGCCGTGAAAAGTGCCAAGACGCGCAATCGAAATAATCCAATTTCTTACAAGTGTGGTGGGCGGTTATTCGGACTTCGAAGCACGTACACTAGCTGTTGTTTTCTTATTTATCTACTTTTTTTTTCATTTGTTTTTGATGGATTGCGCGTTGTGGCAGCTGCAACTGGCGTGTGCGCCCCCGCAGGCCATAACTAACGAATCGAGAATTATGTCTCCTCCTTCGACGCCAACAAATATCCACCGTATCCCGTATTACACTAGATTTTACAAAGTCGAATCGATGGGGGTGGTAGAGTTTGTTTGTCATGTACTTTTAAAATCCGTTARAATCAGTATTCTTCTTGTATCGGGATAACTCAACATTATTGCCTCGGGATTAAGTTACCCTTCTTTGACGCCTGTGTTACAATTTATGGATATTATTATGTTAATCCTTGTTCAGGGTAGGATTGTATAATAATATGATTTGTAAAATACATTAGTATTATGAGAATACAGATAGAAAATGATCAATATTATATTAATTCAAATCGATTTAGTAGGTTTATAAAATGTTTCTACTTATTTAAATTGATATATAGTTTTGAATTATCAATCCATCAACAAAATAATGATAATCAGACACTTTGGAACAATTTCATAGTATAATATATTGGTGCATAAGTAATTATACATATATCATGTAAGCATTAATTTAAATCGATTATATACTAAGTGGTCTAAATAATAAAAGATATTTAATTTTACAACACTAATTTTATTAATCTTTATTGTTAAAAATAATGTATTAAATTAAAAGATAATGCGATGTACAAAATAAAAAAATTGATTTTAAATAATTAGATTATGCCTACTGAATTTAATTAGAATTCTGAAGCATTGCAATTATATGCTTTTAAAGTTATGAAAGTCATTATTATGAATRTACAAAGCTAAACAATGTTTTAAAATAATAAATATTACTWTATAGATTTTCTAGCAGTATTTTAATTTACATCATTTATTTAATGTCTTGTGAAACTCTGACAAGAAAAAAAAGACACTAAAACAAATTATAGTTATATTATCTTAAATTTTAGCTTATAAATCTATAGCAATAAATATTTTTCACCACCATTTTCTCACTTGTTTAATATATTTTGTATCGTAATACAATTAGTAAATTKGTTTAAATATACGCACTGACTTCTGATTTAAAAATATAAAAAAGCGGGTAAGTCGTGGATGTCGCTCTGCTGTACTGTAGGTTACTGTGATGGATGGGATTAAATTTGAATGCAATG